TAGTCCATTCTGAAAGTTGCTATTCATGTCAATAATTTGATTTTGAGACCATTTTTTCGTCGCCTTATCCAAATAAGTCGCATCACCAATAAGATGCCTTGCTTCTAATAGAAGTCACTGCTGCCTATTTTAATTTTTTTGAAGTTTTACCGAAAACTTTTTTTCAAAATTTTTGCGGTAAACCAAAAGTAAAAAATGTGAAGTGCTTGCACGTTGAAGAAGATATCGTATCTTGTTGAATGTTGTCGTTCAAAGGCACTTAAATTTGTTTGATAAGTTGATAACATAATCCTTAAAATACTTTCCCAAAGCAATTGATCATTGCAAACATTCTTTGAATTTAATTGTACTTGGACACCCACCGTTTAAAATGATTCATTTATTAAAAGTAGGTTAAGTTTGGAAAACAGGAAAGGAAGACGTCCCAAACTTGGGTTTCCGGTCACGTGTTGGTAATGAGATTACTAATTCAATTTACATTTAAACACATAAACAAAGGAACGACGATTTGGTGCAAATTAAACGTCACAGTTTGTTGTGTCAGCCAGGGGCGGACTGGGTACTTACGGGCCATTAAAGTATTAGTGTAGTAATGGAGGTGCGCACCACAAAAACATTTTTTTGCTTCATTTTGGTACTCCTTTTTCGGAAATCAATTACACTACAGTTTTTTTTTTAAATTGCAGCTGATAATAGAGAATTTTGATTGAGACGTCTGATCATACCAAAATTAATAAGAAAGTGTTTTCCCGCGAAATTTTGGTGCAGTCAATTTTTGGTAAAAAAGGAAGGTTTATACACTGCCTTTTTTTGAGCTCCGAAAAAAAAATTGTCTCAGATCGACCCGGAAAAAAATTTTCTTATAGAATGTGGCCTGTAGAATCCATAATTTCAAACAGTTCCAAGATTGGGCTTCTAGTTCAAAAGTTACAGCCCTTTGAATTTTCTTACGAAATTGGTTTCTAGTCAGAGGCGGGCCAGGTGGAATTGCATAGGTTACGGGCCATTAAAGTATTAGTGTAGTAATGAAGGGGGGGGGGGGGGGGGATAGCTCTGCGGTGTACCACAAAAACATGCTTCATTTTAAAGTACTCCTTTTTCGGAAATCAATTACAATACAGGTTTTTTTTAAATGCAGCTGATAATTAAAAGTAACAAAATATACAAACCAAACGAGGCGCGTCGCCTATCATTGTATTTCATCACTTTCATGCTACGACAAAAAATGGTAAATTCATTGTAAAACACTTCAATTAAAACAGAATTTTTTAATGTTTTAACAACCTAACATCAACCCCAATTAGAGAAACGTGTTAATAACTTATTAATAGTGCAAGAAACTAAATACAGCACATACTTATAATAAATTTCCAACGGCCATTATGACGTACAGGCCAGGTGGCAATTGCCACCCGCCCCCCCGGGCCAGTCCGCCCCTGGTATCAGCGCTATCATAATTAGCGTTTCCGTTACGACTACGGCAATTAGACCTTCAATCACGAGAAAATTCATTTGAGTGCATTTGAGCATGATTAAAATCTAAAACCTTCCCCAAAACAAACACGACATTCAAGTGAGATCATAACTTCTCCAAGAATGCTGTGCAGCGAGGAAACGTTCGGCTTCAGCCTAGGAGATTTCGAAAACATTTCCAAAAAGGATTGTAGTACAAGTGCCTAAATTTGCAGAAAAATGCTGACGTTTTCTGGAAACATTTTGAATTCTAAATAAGCTTCAGACAGCCGTAAGGCTCGGACTTAGCGATGGTTCGTTCCACAATTGGCATGAGTTAAATTTTGTGTTTTTAAAATTCCACGCTCTAAAATTAGAAGGGGCGTCTGGCACTGGACCAGGCGAGGGACCAGGTCTAGGGCGGCCAGAAAGTTTTTCAAGAAAATGTTCACCTTGATTTTTGCAATGTCTAAGAACTTTTTAAAGATTTCAGATCAGTTTTTTTCTAAAAAAAGCTCAGCCTTCAAGAAATCTTTATGATCCCTTAGAAGCTAATTTAAATATGTGATTGCCAGTCATTCTGCGCGTAAACATGCAAAGAGCTCGAATTGTGTCAGTTCTACCAACATTGCGAAATGAAGTATTAAAAGCTCCAGCTCCTGTTATGTTATAAATTCAAGTAATAATTACTGTTCTAAATTAATCAATTTCATAATTGGTTGTTAAATGCCACCATTTCGTTTAATTTCCCCAACTTGTCTAGCATTGCCTTAAATTTCCCCAAATTTAGACAAAATTTCTCAGAATTAACATGAAATGAGTAACGGTACTTGCCTATAGAAACCTTTTATTTTCAAAAATTTTCTGTAGATTTCCTCGGAATTTTCTCTTATTCCCTAAAAATTTCCTAAGAATTGCCTAGTTCCTTTGAAATGTCCTCCTATTTCCACAAAATTTCTAAATGTTTGTACAAGTCAAAATCGTTGATTCCACAGCAAATATTTTGAAGAAAACAAAGGTTCCTAAAAAGATCCATAAGCATACTTCTAATATTCCTAGGAATTTCCAAGTAAAATTCCTAGGAAGACGAATTACGATTCTAAATAAGTGTTGTACGATTCACAGAAAAATGTTCAAAAATGACAAAGTTTCGAAGAATTTCTAGCATAATTGGAAAAAATCTGCTGTAAGTTCTGCTACTAAAATGATTCTTCCTAAGAAAATGCACCCGCTTGTTAAAGGTGTCTTGACAGAACGCAGTGAATGTATTATTCCTACTCTCCTTTTTAGGTCGACTCACTATTTGGCAATTTGTAATAGGTTGTTAAACCCTGCTTGCAGATTTAATGCTCTACCTACCTAAAAAAAGATAGGAAAATATGTGCACAATTAGGGCGTATTATCTTACACAGATTAGACATCTCACAGATATTTCGCCGGTAATTGCACTGAAGTGCTACTACAATAGCAATAAAAAATATTTAAAACAGTAGTTAATGTAATCAGTGTATTTGTTGAGTACACAAATTTGTGATCAAGATATTTATAGTAACCTAATTAACATTTAAGAAATGCTTTTGGATATTCTCTCTCTCATTTTGTAAAGATATTTCCAAAATTCCTACTCCAAGATGGCAAATCCCTAAAATGGACGAAATTTGGTATCTGGAATTGGGACACCCTGTACAATGACAGTCAGTGTAAGTTTCCCGTACATACAAAAACCGCGTACTACTTACCACACTGAAAAAAAAAACATGCAGCAGGTAACTTTCCCTGAATTAATTGCAAGGGATTTAAAATATAGTTACAGTTCCACAACAGAAAGGCATTCCTTTAAGAATCCCATCATTACCATTTGGCTAGCACTTCCAACATTTTGACTGACGGTAAACATAACTATTATAGCATTGTTAACTTTTACCACCACCAACTGTCCGGCATTCTAGAAAGGATACAAATTTGTTTAAATGCGAGAAAAGATCTAAGATAGCGTTTAGAAATTCCTGAACAATTTTTTGGTTTTTGAAATATTTTGAAAAAAACCGGATTTTTCGATTTTACGAGCTATTCTTGTCTGGCGTTAATATTTGACCTAAAGCAAAACCAATGACACCGCTCCACAGCAACTTTTAATACTCTTTAAGGCCGCCCCATTAATTTTCTAATCCGACGTTTCATCTTTGAGGAACCATCATCAACTTCATTTAAAGTACGGACCTGCATTAGGCAGATAGTCAATACAAGCACATTCGTAAAGGCTTGTTTCCCAATGCTTCTAGCAAGTTCAAAATATTGACATTCTTAATAGGTAGCAGATTTTTGTAGTTGTTTTCAGATATACTGGCGATCTTCACACACACGATATTCTAATTGTTCTACTATACCATAAAACAATTGTTTTATAATACCTACCAGTACCAAGACAAAACAATGAATACTTTCACACAATAATAAAAGAAAAACTGCCTACAGATCTTCTACTCTTATTCTATTCAAGACTTGTATTGCTTCAATATTAGCTGAAAAGAGGTGTAGGTACAGTTTCGTTTCGCAATTTATACTCACCTCAACTTTATATCACAGTTGCCATGTAGGAAGGACATTTGGGAGTTTATTCTACAGGAAGTCCGGTCGTTTCAAATCCAAAAAAATTTCCACGAACGTAAGGAAAGGGAGTATAGGAATAATTGCCATTTGATCACCTGAAAGAGGAATTTCGTAAGGTTTAACAGGCGACGACACCTTCGATTTCGCAATGTCTCTAAATATTTGTTAAAATCGCATCCGCCAACAAATTCTCCCACGATCGTCTAAAGGTCAATTAACTTATCAAAAAAACAAAAGCCGTAAATTTTGCAATTATCTATCTCGATTTTAAATCAATAAATAAACATACAAGACGGCCCAAGTTTTCGAAATGGATCTGTCACGTGTAACGGTTTTTTTTTGCACAAACATTAATTAAGACAGCCATATTTTTGCTTGTCGGACTCGTTACAAAATAAAAGTAGGGGGAGACTATCTTTTGTTTATAAAAAAACAGCAGATAGATACCTGTTGTAAATTGTTATAAGCGGGATGGGATTGACCGAAAAAAAGGTAACGAGCGATTTCCTTCCTTGGAATTGTCAGCGCGTATCGGCCCTTTTTCTAATTTGACGAAGCGGGGGCGATTTGACGCACAAAAATATAAACTGGAAGGAAAATTACCGCTGCACGCAATAAATAATTGAAATAAAGTTAGGATGACACAGCTCCGATGTTGACCCTTGCGTAGCATTCATTAGATTGATATTGTAACGGGAAGGCAAACACGTATGCCTGCCTACGTTATCCCTATTACGCTTTTTAATAATCGTCGTAATTAGAAATTAACAATAGATCGGTAATCGTAAAAGGATAAGGAACGAAAATGAACAAAAACAGGATCGAAGGGCGAGCATTAAAAAGTGCCACAAGATGTCTCTCGGAAATTCGTATGTATTAATCGCACAGGCCTTCGGGCGAATACCACCATCGATAATAGAGGAATATCGAAAACTCACCTCTGAAACACTATCCTCTTCGCTTTCCGAAGTGTCGGACATAAATCGCCTACGTTCCGAATATGTGTCCGTTTCTGATTTTGCAGGACTCGAGTTGGATGAATGGGGAGTCGACGGCGAGTTCCCTATGTCGTGATGATTAACACTAATTTTTTCTATTTTTGAATTATCTGTCGCAGATCTTTGTGCTGCATTCTGCATTTTTGCATTTCATTCAAGTAAACGGGAGTATATTTGTTTTTATAGAAAACTTATTAACTGCACTACACGTAAAAATTAGATTACACTCGTTACATTACATTCACCGTCGCCATTTTCACTATGGCGCACGCAGAAAATCAAGTTCCGTATTACAAACCCACCCCACTTCTGGCGACATCTATACGCCACATTCTGCACCCGCCACACAACTAATCGATAAATTAGAACTACCTGCAAGATCTTTAAGTCGCGCGATTACCTTTTCATAAAATTACGGCTCAAATACCTAAAAACTGGATATACGGTAAACGCCCCAGTTTTTTTTTAAATATTCGCACTTCAAACCGATCTTATCATTGATAGAAAACAGATGGCAGCACGTACGAACCCATCTACAGTATGTTACTAAATTACAGGTCCACCCCTCGTAACGGTACTGTCACTCTGCTGCAATAGCTTTAAACAAAACCAACTAGCTTAAATTCATAAACACTTACTTATTTCGAATGTAATTCTTGTTTTTTTTCACTCCACGTCATTTTACTGTTTAACTACCATCTTGTTTTCGTCTATCATTGGTTAACTGCTAAAGAATACGTTAAGAAGATATTCTTAACGTGTTCTTCCTGATGGCAAATACTCTTGTATTATTAGTCGGGAAGAATAATTATTATTAGACGTAAGACATTAAAACTGTGGAATTCGTCAAAGCTTGGGAAGGGGTCTAACTCTATAAAAAACGCGAAAGAACCCTATATAATCTTCTAGAAAGTCCTTAAGGCGGCTCTGCAGTGAATTAAGATTTCGATTTTGCGCCTAGATAGAAAAATTTGTAGGCAACTAACAATACAAATTATTGATGTTTCTAATGTGGATTCTAAAACGCTGCAGGCTATAGGTGCTATACATTCACAAACAAAGCAATTAGTACCTAAGTAAATGAATTGAAATAAGGGAATGTAATACTAGATCAATGTAGAATTTTTTTGACATTTGAAAGTGCAAAAAAATTAAGCATGATTCGTTTGAAAAAATCAACTTTTGAAGGTTTGAAGTTAAATAAAGTTGACCGGTAGTTTTAAAACACCCTGTAGAAGGGCGAAAAAAATTTAAATCATTGTTACGCAGCATCAAGTGAGCACTGCCGATTTTGGAATACTTTTTGAAATTGAAGTCAACGGAGTCATAGATACAGGACTCAAAAGGATAACAGCCAAACAAAAAAAAATATTCAAAATCTTGAATAACTTGAAAACCTTTGATGCTGCATACAGGGAAATTGGTACCAACCGGCGTAAATTTTCATGTAGATTTCGAAAATACAGGGTGTTCTATTTAAAATAAGAAGTTGCTATCCACATGCGATAGAACCAAAAGTGAAACGATCATTCTTTCGACAGGTCAAGAAAAACTATGTTGGTGTACACATTGTCAGATTTAATTGATCAATGAAAGCCTGAATACTTTTAGGTATCGGTTTGCGTGACACGGCCTGTAATACTTGGTATAATTACGGAAGTAGGTATCCACAAGAATCTTACCATTACAAACTTCTAATCACTGAAACCAGTAAAGGAATACATTAAATTACATTATTATCTAATTATAGGAAGGTGTTAATGACGCCGGACAAAGCCCAAGGAGGTGAATTCCATTGCAGATAACAATGAATAGCCTAATCTCTAAAACTATTGTTAGAAAAATGAATAGGATTAATTCGTAATTTCCAGTTAATGACAATTTCGCCGGGGCGGGCGTATGGTGTAATTTAAGTTGCCTAACTGTGCTTTCAATTGGTGAAATACTTCATGATGTCATCAAAACATCGACTCAACTTTTGGCATTGCGTATTATATGGCTAAGGCTATGCCCATATTGAATTTCATGCAATTCAGTTCATAACTAACGGAGATGTAAAAGCGATCGGACATTTCTAAACAAAATTATCGTTCACACGGACAGATAGAGGGACAGACAAGCAAAGGAACTGACGAACAGACCAACAGGCAGATGACAGACAGCAATGCAAAAATATAAACGATCTCTAGGATCGTTAATAAACGGCAAAAGTGTAAAATTATGGAACATGTAAAAAACGGTTTTTTTGTATTTTTTACAATAACTTTTTTTGTAAGCGGTACAGAAAAAATTCCTTCCTTGGTGCAAGACGACACCATAACGAACCAAATAGCGAAAAAAGTAGAACAATAGCTCTTAAGATAAAGAACTAGTAGCGTCGCAAAACGAGCGGACGGACGGACGGATAGCCGGACGGACGGACAAAGTGGCCACAATAGCGCATTTTTTTTTATTTTTGTGGAAATGCGCTAAAAAGAAACATTAATTACGAGTTTGCAAAACTGCACTTTTTTTCGTATTTAATGTCTCTATATTTCTGCAATTTCCGAAATTCCCCCCACATGTAACATTAAAAAAATGTAATCATATGCAAACATGGGTGGTTAAACCATTTTTTTGTGATATTAGCCAAGGAGGGCAAATATTTCACACTAAGTTCTTTAGGCGAATAGGTACCTACTCTAGAATGTACCTATTCACTGGTACTAAACACCTAAGGGTACAATTATGGGGTGAATTTTATGGAATACACATTCCAGAAGTTAATTAATATTTCTAGTCCAATATATACCAACAAAAATTGTAAGTGACAAGAATTAAGAAAGGAATTAGCAGCAAAAGAGTTTATTAATAAAACGGTTATTGAGAAATCTCATCATTTTTACTTTCCGAAAATCTACCTAAATCAAGCGAGAATCCGTTCTAAGTTTTGAGAAATTTGTTTGTGAAATGGAAACTTTTGGGTATACTCATTAATTTTATCAAGTCTAAAAACTATATAAACTAATTGGCAATGGTAGCCATAGAAATTTTCTAGGTACATAAGAATGGTGCATTTTGTTGAGTTTAGTGGCGTTAGTCATGTAAAGGAAATAAAGTACCAATAATGTAAATAATAAAAGACTCATAGTGTCAGAGTTTCATTACAAGTTTATACAAATGGCTCAATATTAATTTCCAAACATGAGCAAGGATTTGTTAACTCAAACTGCAACAAAACATTTGGGTGTAAAACTCCAATTTTACCTATCGGACTTCCATTGCAAATAACCTCAGCGCAACGTTGAGGAAAATAGGCGGGATCTAAAAATTGAAAATAATTATGACCAAAACTAATCGAGACTGAACACTTATTACCATCAGTTGCTCGCAAGTAATAGCCTGTATCGCCTCGCTTAGGATTCCATGGTACCTCAAGGAGCATCATGATGTGATCCAGCAATCCATGAACTACTTCAAATCCGGCTGTCTTATTGCAGTTAACAGCACACACTCTGCGCTCGTTTCTCGCACCTACCTCTGAAATATTAAGCTTTCTTCAAATTGTCTTATTCTTTAGTGAAGAAACAAGAAACTATTAACACTGATGTCACCAAGTAAAAGAAAAACATAATATTCTATTTAATCGAGACCAAACATCAACAAGTGTTTGGCGCTGTAATTATAGTTTCTATTTATTACTCTGAACCCACTCTGTACCATATAATCTTACCTGCAGTCGTATCCTTCAAAACAACATCAGAAATTTCAAATATTTTCAACGGAAGCGGCATTTTCTTATTAGCCGCCAATGTTTTCAATAATCCAGACAAAAGCGTCGTTCTGCACACTTGAAACTCGAGAGTCTTCGGATTAGAAATGTGGACCGCGGGAATATCTTCCATTCTTCTACCCAACTTACTAGAAATATCATCACGCGAACACTACACAATAAAAAAACATTCCTAGTACGTCTTACCAACGAGAACGTTAATGCCTCTGTAAAGCCAGCTTGAGCTATGGGTGTTCGAAGTAAGCCGGAGAGCTTGTTTAGAGGGAATTGTTGCGCGATCGTGTTTGTGTGCGGCAAAACGCGCGAAATCTTGTTATAACCGTATGCAATAGCCACATCTTCGTATATATCACAGGCGTGTATAACATCGTGGCGGGTTGGTGGAATGGTGACTTTCACGCTTTTACCTTTCGATGAAACTTTTGAAGTAAGACACATTTTGGAAAGGAGGTTCGCAATATTCTGGCCAGATTCACTAAACATATTTTATAAGTCTCACACATACCAGGTGCCTAACCATGGTGATCTCGGTTATTTTAAGAGCTGGAATGTTGGTAAAACTGAGACAAAGTTGATAAATGAAATACTCAACCACCATTTGCCAATGACGAATATCGAAATGCGGTTTTCACTTTTTCATCTTATTTGATATCGTATAATAATTTTATCGTCCCATTTGAAATTTTCAAAAAACCTGCCAAGTTTATGTTAAAAATGTCGTACCGCGCCCTCTACCACTCATCACATTTACTAAAAAGGCTCAATATTCATATAAAATTTGAACACACGAAGAGCGCTCCTTCCAATAAACCCAATTATGTGAAAATCGGTTAACCTAAACCAAACCCCTGACATTTTGTGAGCTAGAGCAATATGTGCTGTATCAAAATGATACAAGATTGAGATGCATGTATTTTTATGCATGTGTGAGGGTATATTTTAAGAAAAAAATCATTTTTCTGCTTAACCATGAATCTTACGCCCTCTAGCGGCAAACCTAGAAATTTGCAAATAATTTCCAGTGATTTCTCTTGGCCACTTTTGTTCTCAAAATCTTTTTCCACAAGCTGTGCAATTAACAGTTCCGTAGATATGACTTGTGACCTTTATTAATAGGACACCCTGTGTATGCAACACCTCTTTTAACCAGATCGAAATTAGCACACCCAAAATCCTAAGCAAACCAATTAGTCTAAACTTGCCATCTCGCTCACATTGCATCAACCATAAACAGGATTTACTTCAAGCTCATGATAAAGATATAGAGAAAACCTTTCTCATTTCAAAACCGTGGTTAAGACCAATATGGTAATGATGCGGTATAGCAACATTAATCAACATTGTTGTAAGGTAACCAAGACTCCCATGGTGAGACATGAAAAATGTCTGGTATACACTGAGCACTTACCTAACACCAATTGCAATATTAGTTTTTGCAATACTAACAAGTTCGTCCCTGTATCTTAACTGGGGATACTGTACTGATTTACCGTCTGGATTTGTAATCTCACAATATTCTACACAGTACTTCTCTTTACAGTATTCACTAAACATGCACACCATTGTATCCAGTACGACAATAGCCTAAAACAGTTTTCTTAGCTGCAGCAGTAACAAATAGAGTTACCTTCGTTAAATCAGTGGCAGTACACTCGATGAACACATTTTTTGTATCAAGAGTGATTCGAGAATGATGTCCATTGATAATTGGTGGCATTGAGAGGACTACACCATTTTTATCATAAATAACCGGATAAACGGCACTGTCTTTAATAATCGGCAAATACTGCTTCAGTTGAGAATGTGTCTGTAAATAAATTAGTTTTAAACCTAGTAAACCACAACGGAAAACGGTACCGAATACAAATCCATTAGTTCCACTCCTGTATACTCTTTATTTTGGTTTAGTGGCACGAATTTGATTTCAGACGGGGGTTTCGCGTCATAAGTAAAAGGGCCATGGATTGTGTCAAGATCATGAGTACCAATAGCGACAAGGCTTCGCTTGCGGCAAATATTTTGATGTAATTTATCTTGCAAGTCTATGAAATTGTTATAGGACTCTTGTGTGAAGTGTATATCACGTAGCACTGCGGCGACTGCGTACGGACGAATTTGTGCTGTACCGGGTTTTATCTGGAGTTTCTGCAGTTGCCCACTGGTAGGTAAAACAGCTTTATAAGTAGGCGCCTCTATCCTAGAACCGGTCATTAAGTAATCTTACATTAAAGTACCATCATACTTATTTTGAAAAACCAAAAGGCCACGAACCAATCCTTCCAGACATAACAAGTCATAGCGATTCGCAGGGACATCGATTCGATAGATTATGTCCTCAGACGCACCAACGGACGATTCTGCATTTTCGCCTTGTTCCTTTGTAATCATTTGCTTTTCGGTCGTCTAAAATAATAACAGAATGAATAAGGTATCTTAGGAGCTGTTTGAGACACACTTACAACTTCATCCAATTCCAGGCCATATTCAAAACACAAACTTTGAAATTCATCATCAGCTAAAGGCAAAATAGTACAGATCGTTACAAATAAAACAGAAACTTACTGTATGTCTTGTCTAACGCTTTAAATAAAGCATCGCGTTTTACTCCTACCGTAGGCATTGCGACGAGACCCAGTAACAAGTCACCCCTACACCTAAAGAAAGGTTGCAATTGCAATCTTAGAGGTTATGTTTAAAAACCGAACATATGTTCTTTTTAGGTTAGATACATAGAATAGAAGTTCCACTTCGTTATCATAGACCATGTGTCAATATACAGGATGCCCCAGTTGGAGTAGGCTCGCATGGGATTCAAAACTTTTGCATTTTTATGTACTGATTAAGTTTCTGTTTAAAAAGTTGAAAAACTGTAGAATCCATAATTTCAAACAGTTCCAAGATTGGGCTACTAGTTCAAAAGTTACAGTCATTTGAATTTTCTTTCGAAATTGGTTTTTAGTCCATAACTTTATATTGAGAAGTCTAATCGAAAAAGTACGAATTGTTTTGGATTCTACGTACCAAAATTAATAAGAAAAAGTGTTTTCCCGAGAAATTTTGGTGCAGTCGATTTTTGGAAAAAAGGAAGGTTATTACTGACTTTTTTTTGCCCCGAAAAAAAAATTGTCTCAGATCGACCCGGAAAAAAAATGTTTCTTATAGAACGTGGCCTGTAGAATCCATAATTTCAAACAGTTCCAAGGTTGGGCTACTAGATCAAAAGTTACAGCCCTTTGATTTTTCTTTCGAAATTGGTTTTTAGTCCATAACTTTTGATTGAGAAATCTGATCGAAAAAGTACGAATTGTTTTGGATTCTACGCACCAAAATTAATAAGAAAGTGTTTTCCCGAGAAATTTTGGTGCAGTCGATTTTTGGAAAGAAGGAAGGTTATACACTGCCTTTTTTTTGCCCCGAAAAAAAAATTGTCTCAGATCGACCCGGAAAAAAATTTTTCTTATAGAACGTGGCCTGTAGAATCCATAATTTCAAACAGTTCCAAGATTGGGCTACTAGTTCAAAAGTTACAGCCCTTTGAATTTTCTTTCAAAATTGGTTTCTAGTCTATAACTTTTGATTGAGAAGTCTGATCGAAAAAGTACGAATTGTTTTGGATTCTACGCACCAAATTTAATAAGAAAAAGTGTTTTCCCGAGAAATTTTGGTGCAGTCGATTTTTGGCAAAAAAGGAAGGTTATACACTGCCTTTTTTTGAGCCTCGAAAAAAAAATTGTCTCAGATCGACCCGGAAAAAAAATTTTCTTATAGAATGTGGCCTGTAGAATCCATAATTTCAAACAGTTCCAAGATTGGGCTACTAGTTCAAAGGTTACAGCCCTTTGAATTTTCTTTCGAAATTGGTTTCTAGTCTATAACTTTTGATTGAGAAGTCTGATCGAAAAAGTACGAATTGTTTTGGATTCTACACACCAAAATTAATAAGAAAAAGTGTTTTCCCGAGAAATTTTGGTGCAGTCGATTTTTGGAAAAAAGGAAGGTTATACACTGCTTTTTTTGCCCCGAAAAAAAAATTGTCTCAGATCGACCCGGAAAAAAATTTTTCTTATAGAACGTGGCCTGTAGAATCCATAATTTCAAACAGTTCCAAGATTGGGCTACTGGATCAAAAGTTACAGCCCTTTGAATTTTTTTTCGAAATTGGTTTCTAGTCTATAAGTTTTGATTGAGAAGTCTGATCGAAAAAGTACGAATTGTTTTGGATTCTACGCTCCAAAATTAATAAGAAAAAGTGTTTTCCCGAGAAATTTTGGTGCAGTCGATTTTTGGAAAAAAGGAAGGTTATTACTGCCTTTTTTTGCCCCCAATCCAAAAGAGTGAAACGGACATACTTCCTGCCAAGAATGACCAGACTTCCTAATGCCATTCCATTTTCCCTCCCATTCAGCCCTTAGTTGCACGCCATCCTTTTCTCTTTTAATGGTCCTGCAGTTATTTTCTGAGACCTCATGCTAAACACTCAACTAATTGGTTAATTGCCAGTTAAAACTAGTAAATTGGACAGAACAAGTTAATTAATACCACTCTATGTTAATATATGTAGTCACCTTTACCAATTAGCATTACAGGATTAAGCAAAAACATGTTATATAATATTTTTATTCTATCTCAATTGTCAATATATTATTAAAGGCATCAATCACATCTTCTATATACACCATTATATACTATAAAAAACCAACAAAAATATAACTGCATAAAGAAACAAGGCTTTTACTAAGATGGACATGTACGAGAATGATATGCGAGAGTAAGTAGGTAAAAATATTGTACTAACGTCATTAAAAAAGAGAGCTAAATTTTTACTCCCAAACGAAAATAATAAATAAGAGAGGAAAACGGTGGAAGTATTAAAATTCAGCTTCTCGATCTTATAAAAAAAAAATTTGCTTGGACTAGATATAAAAAAAATAAAAATTAAAATGCTGTTTCCAATGTAGAGGATGGAAGAACTGCTTTGTTTTCCTTTGCTGAATCTTTCGTAGAAGTCGATTGTGGCGAGCTAAAGAAGCGGGCCCTTTGGGCCCTGATGCGTTGGGCTACGGTTGGAACATTGGAAGGCTTTGTACAGTTGGCATCTGTAAAGTTTTGGGTCGATTTGAGAACCGTGCCACTTCTAAAATCGGCAAGATTTCTTCGTAGCGTCGAACTGTTACCGGTCTCGTCTTCGCCACAATCTTCCGGGATTGTGGAAGAGAGAACGTCGGTTCGAGGGTTGGTGAATCTCCACTGTGACTTTGGTGACATCAATTTCGGCATGCACTTCTGTTTTTCGCCGAAGTGTTTAGGAGAAGAGGGCGAGCTGGAGGTAAATCGTCGATTCTGGAGTGTCTTCGGTGAGGCGCTTAGCTCCAGAATTTTCAGATCTGTTTGGAGTGGTTGGGGGGAATGTTTTGATAACTTTAGCTGCTCGACTGCTGACAATTTTTTGGTATGAACGGACGCTACATTTGTTTTTGTGCTATGTTGTAATAGTAGCTTTTTGAAGTCAAGACGCGATGTCTGCGGCGTACCTTTGCGGTTGTTGCAGGTTCCGTTTTGCCTTTCAGGTGACAACTTGTCGATATTTGTGTTGTACTCTACAAACTCGCCGTCGCTAGGCGACCAGCTGAATCGCGAACGCGTTTTCTCTCCCAAATACCCGGTTTCGGGAGATTTGACTTTGGTATCTGGACTTTTACATCGCTTTGGAGTTAACGTAGGTGAATCAATACGATTGTCAACTGTGCTAATATTCATCTTCTTTTTACCCTTGTGTATGACGGCATACAGTTCATCAGTACTCATAGTAGACTTCTTTGGAGACAGTAACTTTTGTTCTAAATTTACAGCTGCTTTTAAATCATTACGACTTTTCGATGATGGTGTAGAAGATTGAAATCCACCACCCAAGTTTCGAGGATCTATAGGCGAAATTTTTAGTGAATCGTTTCCAAGTGTATCAAAATGAGATAGTGAAGGCACTTGTGGTTTATATTCCATCGATACGTCGGTTACTTGAGGTAATTGCACAGGCATTCCTAATTTTTTTACTAAGTATTGTCGATTTGGCAATGTTTGGTGAAGATTAGGATGTTTGTGATTAACGTGGCCGCGCATTATATCGGGTGTTGTTGGCCGTTCCAATTTCAAATTACTTGATATATACTGAGACTTTTTGTTTGGTAGAGTATGGTAAGTATCGTTTCCTTTCCAATACAAATTTGTATCCAACAAAGGGTTGTGATAACCGTACGAGTCAGTATCAATTGTACGATGAATTGGATTCTCCATTGCCCACTTATTGGATGCAGTCGGTTGATTAGCCGGAGAATATACAGAATCTGCAAAATTAAGTACCATCACAGCATAAATCACAATAAAAGTTTGTAACTTTTTTAATATAGAGATGCAACATGCAAATGACAAACAGACATGCAAAAAAATCAATAAATTCTCACCTCGGCGTCTTTGTATATACATAAAAACCTCGACTTGTAAAGCAGTGCTGTTCCATGCGTCCCGTGCAAGCAAATTACTAGGTGTACGTGTACGATACAATTAAATGGTAGGCCACTTATGTGATTCAATGTACTGTACATTGTTATCAAGCCCTTAAGGCTAATGATAGCGGATGAGTAATGCGGGTAACCACATTCAATATGATTTAATTAGTCAGAGTTTTAGATTCGCCATACAACCACAGAAAGATATTTAATATGCAGGAATGTGGACCCTTCACTAAAAATAGTACCTATGGCTCAGTTATTCAGCAAGTAGGTATATAAAGGCCTGCAGACATTTTAGTTTGCATTCACATGTTAGTAACTCAACTTCACCCTTCTTTATTATTCTCCATAAATATATTTGTTATAAGAAACAAGGAACTTTCAGCCATAAGCAATCAAACTAGTTATTGGATACTTGCATTGCAACAATTTATTAACTTTAGGTAGGTACTTGAGCTAGATGTTATTAGTATCAATGGCGCATTTATTTACGTACCAATTGTTACTTATTTCTGCCATCCACTAATAACAAGTACGCGTCAATTTTAATTAGTTAATTACATGGAAGTAAAATTCAATCAAACTTCTACCAACGGACTTATGAATGAAACTGACCAGATCATAATGTTTCAGTGATTCATTAATTATAACTCAGACGAAGCCTAGGAAACCGACGTCATTATTGAGACGAAAGCATCATCAAGTGCAGTGTAACCACTTTAAATTTTAAAGCACAACCGTTATTGATTGAAGGGGTACGTACGCCCCTTAGGAAATTCAATAACACAACATTCTTAAAATATGTTGATCACATTTCTATGGACACAAACATAACAAACCCACGCAAAGCTTTAAGGAAATAGAGCGAGCACGCTTTTTGTGCTGCCCTGTTTCAGGAAGCCCAACCCTTGTTGACGATTCATAACGACCGGTCGGACGGACGGACGTGAACAACTTTTTGATAACGTAGCTGTTCGCAGCATTCGCGCTACTTCATTATGGAGACCTGTGCAGGAAAAGATGGGTTGGTAGAGCAGCCTTGGCTGAAACCTCGCCCACTCAAAAATAAAGGACAAAATAAAATAAATAAAATAAATAAAAAATAATAGTTACTAAAAACGTCTTCAAAATTATTATATCTCAAAATATTAGTTATTACCGCTTTTATATCAATTAATTTTGTATTAAATATGCAAAAAAACACGGGGCGAAAATAGATAGGTAGATATAAAGGCCATTTCGGTATATCGGTACAATTTTGGTCAAATCGGTAGATCTACCGAAAAATCACTGGTGACCACTGCACAGTGGTTTGTGTTAATGCGCGGCATGGGAACAGCGATTTTCGGAATCGGTACCCTAATTTATAGCTTAAAACCTCTTTCATTGCTTAAATCTCAAAAGAAAAGGTTTTGAATTAGAAGCCAACAAAAACAATTCTTACAGATATTTTTTAACAAACATAAAACGTAACCTGTGGCCAGGCCAGGGAGGGGCAGCTGCCCCCCATTGTCCCCCCCTGCGTACGCTCATGAGTTGGCGAATGCCGCGAAAGTAGGTAAATCGTAAATGTAATAAGTCGACTATATTGAAGGAATGAGAAATTGCGGCAAAATCTATAAAAAAGGACTCTTTAATAGGAAAGTCACTTCCTTCTTCTTCAACACAAGGTTGGTATTTTGGTAATGCTTTTAATTAGTATTAGAGACCGTATACTGATATCTCACATTTTCTACATGATTTATTAGACTTTGAAATACCACTTAAGACTTAATAGATACTACCCGTTTGAGTTGGAAATTTTTACAGTTGAGTTGGCAAAATGTCATGTCTGCCCCCCCCCCCCCCGATTTTTTTGTCTAGGTCCGTCCCTGCAAAAGGGTTGGTAGATAAACTGATCGTTTCGAGCCAATAAATTGGAATGGTATAGGTACATAGCCAATCCCATTTCTCTTATGCAAAGGACCAAAGATGCTGCTAAGGAATAGAGGGGAGGGGTTTGGGGGCTTAAAACAAGTACACTAGTACCATATCCCCTACATTTTAAAGGTTTTTCCGGTAGTTCTTCAGGCAATCATTCACGTAGCCTTGAAGGGCACATGCCCATTCTCAATAAATAGCCCCCCTCCCCCCTGTAGTGTACACTTCATAAGAATTTTAAGACATCTTGCAGTATTTTGAAAAAATGTTTTAACATGTAGGAGTAGGTACCTAACTATCAAAATAAATGAGTATGTTTTTATATTAAAGAAAGTAATCGTAAACGATTTATAAAAAAGTGCATTTCCACATCAACAATCTTTGCCTGAAAAAATGAGTTGCTCTAGCCAAATTCGTTTTCAACTATTTAACAAACAAAATCCGTCCACAAATAACAAAGGTAGCACTGCGCATGTACAACCTATTCTTCGACTTGATTTTATAAGTATCACTTTAGCGTATAGAATTTACAAGCACAAAAATACCGAACGATCATCGAGATCTTCATGCATCCATCAATTTTACAACACACCTCCTTAAGAGGTTGTTTCTGTCCCCTCAGATCAGCATAGCTTGTCAAACAAATTCTTTAATTTGGTATTACTTTTACTTTTATACAAAATTATACAAAATTTCATTAAGTATCTTAATAAATAAAAAAAAATTGGATTGCGCAAATGCAAAATCTAGATTGCGAGTGCGCCAATTTTTTTCATTCGTCTGCATGAGGTTCCATAAAAGAAATTTATTTTCTAAACGTAGGTAGGTAATTCTGTCCCCATTTCTTCATGATTTAATTTGTTTACATTACATCTAAAGCAAAAAGAGTAGAACATAAATAAGCTTTCGTCATAATCATTTTTATTGATCGTTCCCTTCCAGGAAAACTACCCCATTCTTAAACATTTAGAAAAAAATGAGTGAGACATTTTAAATAAACTATAATAATCATGTAAATAAATAAACATTAGAGACATAAAACAGCTTCATTTCACTGAAGGTGTGCTGTTGCTCTACAAATATCAACATTTTCTTTGCAATATGTCCCATTGCATCCGGGGGTTATCATTTAACATTTTTAAAGAGAGATTGGGTGGAGAAAGTGCCAAGATATTTTGATACCCTTCTTGATCATTTTTCTTACTAGTCACTTACATTAGGTACGTGCGGTGAAAAAATCAGTTAAAGTACTCGATGCGTCGAGCTACTTAGCGCGTTTTTGTGCAACGGATCGAAGTTTTATTAGCGCTGAAATATAATCTGCATGCAAAGAATTGTGACACAAATCTAATGCTTTAAACCCGAGCATTTTACGTTGCTTCCTTCGAGAGCAGTCTGATGGAAATTCCGATAAGATATTTTGAAAAAAAGAATGCGTTTTGTAGACATAAAATTTGTTTTTTTTTAACTGTAAGATTCAATTTTTCATTTTTTAACGATAATAAAAATATTACCTAGTAATGTGGCAGTTTAATAAAAGTTTCGTTTAATATTACCACTGGAACTGCAAATAATAAGTTCTTTGTGCCTATTGGGCAGTTACCTACACACGTTTCAAGGATGGGGCGGCAAAACCATCTTGCACCTCGGTTCCCAAAAGGCCTTAATCCGCCACTGTTCGAGAGTTAAACTTCAAAACCTTTGCAGCCAACTGACCGACCGACCAACAGCCAAAGTAACTTTTTCTCAAAAAGGTATTTCGTATGCCTTATGGCGAAGGCGTTTACCTAACTCTTATCGTACGGAAGTTGCGGGGGTTTCATTACGGAATAACGATTAAGCAAGGAACTCATTGCATTGGGGGACGACCCCATTGTTATATTTCGATCGCCCCCAGGTTTCTCGCTTTACCAGGAATAGATGAATTTTATTTCATAAATTATTCATATGCTATATGTAATATGAGTAAATATCCATATGTATAATACGCCCGAAATCTGTTATAGACGGAAGAGTAGCATCCTCCATTAAAATGACCAAAATTGCCATTGCCATTCTGTGTCTACATAATCAAAAAATTAAGTTATTGGCAGTTCCATATTTTAGACTAATATCCATGAATTACTAAAGACATTGCTGACCTGCTTTACTCACTCCACCCTGCACACTTTGTTAATTGATTTTAATTATAAAAATGCCCGTTTGGAATAAAACCAGTTACTGCTGTGGCTCTTCCTATCAACTGACTGATCAATTACAAAAGATAAATTGTTGGGTATCTGTAAGTAAATTAGTGAAGTGTTAAATGGAGCGTACGTACATCAAAAGCAAATGATCATGAAGGTGCGGATTTAATATTGTTAGTAATTATCAACGGCTCCTGTTACTGAGAGAACCGTTGAGGTGAATGTTAAAGTCACAATTTAGTTATGAATTCCTTAGGTTTATTGAGCCTAATTTAAATAATCGATTTTATAAAATAATACACTTTCTGTACAATTCTTACATTACTTGTACCATAAAAAAATACTGTTGCGTAATTACACAATTTGCTATATTCAACAGGTGCATGTGAAACAAATTACACATGAATCATGCAGATGCCACAATTACACATTATCAAGCGTGATAATAACGGAGGTGCACACACAATAAGTTCATCATACAAGATCAGATCTCACTACCGTTATGTACATAAACAAACAAAGGGCACAGATGCTAAGGGCTAACATAAACCAACGTTCTTTGTACAAAACATGCATTGTGCCTTTCCGTAAATTAGCCATATTCATGACCCAAATAACGCTATTTTACTACCACCAACCATTTTGTTAGTCTTGAATATGGCCAAATCACCAAAGCAGAGGACGGATAAGAAACTTGAAGGAACCATTACCGCTGTAAAAACGTAATTAGGACGGAATTTACCAAATTTCGGTATCGGAAATCGACGCGGACAACACCCTTGCGCGATGCTCTAAACTGTCGTTGGGAATTGTAACCCTGCTAGGGGATGCTAACAAAATTTCGCGCGCATGAGCCTGACTATACAAGTGACACTGTCGCTCGCATAGTTTCGGCGATACTGACGGCGGATAATTAATTCTCTCGCGCCAGAGTTCCGCCGCGATTTCTTTTTCGATACGATCTTCCAAATTAATCGAAATAATTTTGTTAGGGGTGTGATAATTTGCGATGCGGTAACTATCGGTGCGTTTAACTGCGTTGGATTTCTGTTGGAACTTACCTTTCTCATAGGAAGGGGATAGAGACCCGCGTGCATCTTGCATGTGAACGTAGGCTCCACGCGAATTTATGGGTTTTGGAGAAATAGGCCTGATTGTAGGGGTTACTATGGTGGTTGGCGGAACGCGTACTATTTCAGGTGTTGGACTTGTCGCTTTTATCACCACTCGTCCAAGCGGTGGCGATAGTGACCGCAGGTTGTCTTGTGATTGCACCGGCCGAACACACTTCAGGTTTCTATGCGCTGGAACTGGACTTTCTGACGGCACCTGTGATTCTTTGACGTACGGGCCAGGCTCGAAAGTCGTGTGCGCCCCTTTCCGGCGTCTTAAACTATCGGAGGTATATACCACTTTTCCTTCGGCGTTTAGAGTCACTCTGGCACCTTGCCTTCGTTTCCGCTCGAGTGAATCCCCCGCGTCCGATGAAATTTCATTGAGTGAAACATACTCAGCTGGTGGAGGTATAGTTTCGGCATAAATAGGAACTTTCTCGTTATTATTTTTAATATCGGCTATCGTCACATAGTCGCCCGATTCATCCGCAAAACCGTCGATCACGTCGACGTTCTTTAAACAAATCTTGTCTCTCTTTGAGAAATTGACAATGTTACTTTTCAGCTTGCCCAGCACATTATTCAGAGGAAGAAGTGACGCCTTGAAAATGGGCTGATGGGACGGTTTTGTCACTTCCTCTTTAATTACCACAGTTCCCCCGCTTGGAGAAGCGGCCCGAACACTCGAGAGCGCCTTAGTCAAATCGCTAATTTGCGCATTTAGAATATTTTTGGTTTCGACTGTGGCGTATCCCGATTCCGGATTGACGTTAATTATCATCATACGCGTCGGCTCTTCCTCAGTGTCGGCAAATGGGAGCTTGTCCAAATCAGTTTCTAAAGGTCGAAACGTTTGGGGTTTTCCGATTTGATCTTCGTCGTCATCGCTATGTGGTGGTGTGATTACACACATCGAGGGAATACGGCTAGAATTAATCGTGGTTTTTACTCTGATACGTTCTATTCTGTCAGCGCCCTCCATGTCGGAGCACTCCGAAAATTCGAACTCGGAACAACTTCTGACACCGTTCGGACTATTGGCAGATTCGATTGGCGAGCTGGAGGTGTTGTGACCGCTGTCCGGCGAAATATCGCCGTTATTTTGCTGATGGATTAGTGCAATCACCGTCGACTTACTTCCGCTGGCCGGGCTACGTTTCACGGTCCCGGTTTTATCACTGCCGAACTCACGTTCCAAGGAACTTCCAGGGGAATTATCGTTCGTTTTTGTAAGCGAGCTTTTCCTCTCAGGAACGGCGGGCGCAAGGGCAAGAGACTTGTTGCTACCGGTCGCTATTAGTGTAGTACAAACGGTACCGGCTGAACTCGCTGTAGTTGACGTCGAACCTTTACCGAACAGTTCGTACTCATTTTCGGCCGTTAAAATCGTGTTTATGGAGCTGGTGTTTGAAAATGCGCTAGTGGAATGCAATGGGGTCACTGGCATGTCCTCCTCTTTGAGGGTCTTCAGGCCACTGTCCATATGGAAAGAGGTGTAGTAGCCCTCGGTGTCGCACGAGTAAACCGAGCTCGTCTCTCCGTCCTCGTGAAAATCGTGAATGTCGGGGGTTAGCGTACCCTCGCTTGTAATGCTGCTAGATCCGGAAGTGTTGATGTTAAACTTTCGCTTACTGTTCACCGAACTGGGAGGGTGCGCATTTAGTGAATTACTCGAGGTGGCCGCCGACGTCGTGGACTTTGGTTGAGTTGTACCGGTTATTTCTGAACCAATGGATGCCCTACCACTTTCAGAGCTGGCACTCCAATTACCACTAGAAGAGTGTGGCTCATCCTTATTCCCTCCAGACCGCCTCAACCGGCGTTGTACAGAACTTTCGCGTAATTTAACGGCTAAATTGGCCAAAGGTGTCGTAATTGGTAAATTAATGCTAGATTTTTCCGAGGACGAGCACGAATTGTTGCGTTCGTGCACAATTTTTTTCTCTCTCAAGCTTCGTTTGCGTTTAAGCGTAATTGTTTCGTAAACATTTACATCTCCATCTTCGCACTTCGGAGGCGATTTCGACGAATCCGATTTATTTAGAATTTTTAGTCGATTCTTACCCCACTGCTTTAAACTAGAGAAGTGCGACTTTTTCTCCAAAGACGAATCTTTTTTCGACGCTCGTAGAGGTTCGCTACTTTTACTACGAAACACGCAACCCGTTTCGCTTTTACTTTCCGCGTCGGGTTGTTCCAAAGTTTCCTCTCTGCGAAAGACAAATTCAAACACAAGCAAAATCAATACGATTAAGTTACCCCGCGACTATCGCGTCCTGTATTTCCTTCTGATCCGTACCCGCCAGAGTATTCCTCCGTCGACTTCTCGGCTTCCGCGTTCTCGTTCTGAGACGGATGGTGTCGCCCTCCGTTCGATTAGGGTCGCCGCGAAGAACAGACCTCCTCTGTATCGACATTCGATTAAACGCCTTACCAGATACATCGACAGCAACAATTTCGGCGGGAAATCTGGAAATGAAATAGAGTTTGGACGTTTGTCAGGAAACGATGATGTAGTTCTCACTTAAGAGCGATGACTTGGAGTTGTTCTTCGGGCGAGGGTAATTTATAATCGATTGCTTCGTCATCCGAGTGAATCGTTCCATCTGTCACGTTACCGTCTGAATATGTAACGTTTGGAACGATACGATTAGGACAATTCGGCCCGATGGTTACGTCGCCCAACGCTTCCGCCGATGTCCATCTGCGGAGGTCGTCAAGAGCGGCCGGCTATAAAGTCAAACAATTGTAGCCCTAACCGAATTAAGTTCTAAGTAATTTAGACGCTCGACGGGTGCGCTTTTTTATGACAATCAAAATAGACATAAAACTCACCATTCGAGTTTCAATGTCGATATCGACCCTGGTCCGTATTTTCTTTCTTCGTTCGCCCAATACAGGAGTGCAGACAAAGAATTTCGATGAACGATGTCCGTCGCGACGCCAACGATCCATTTGTCGCATGAGAGGTATTGGAGTTTTAGCGGCGGCCTCATAAAGTTGTTGAACTGCCGTTGGACGGGTATCGGTGTTAAATAGATTCGTCGAGGCAACATGATTCGTTTTGTAATGTTCTTTTAGGCGAGAAAATGTGCAGATATCGCTCACAGCTGAAAAAGAAGAAAAATTTCTCTTAGATTTTCACTAATTAAATTCCCAGCTTTACTAACACACACTTATGTAGACAAATGTACTCGTTCGAATTACTGACATTTACGAGGCGTTAATAATAGGCAGAAGCATTTCGCCATTATGCGATGAAACGTACTTCTGGGAGATTTATCTTTTTTCTGTCAACATAAACGTCTCTCTTGTCACTCAGGACAAATTACAATACAAAAATAAGAAAAGCATTATACAGTTTCAAGAACTTTTAAAATAATAAAATTTTGAAGTTATGTAAGCTAAGACAGTCAACTGAGTCATGTTCACTGCAGGATTCAGCAAAAAAATATTCCATAAAATAGACCAAAACGTGAAGCTAGCACTAGCATTCCAGCAATTGTTTCGCATATTTAATGTGAAATTTCGCAATAAATATGCTCGAATATGCAAATTGTACCTACCTATAGGTAGTAAATTATGGAGATACGCAACCGATTCCATGTTTTTTGGCAATAGGGTGCAATCAGCAAAATATTGAAAGCGCGAACAGTGCGCATTTTAGCATCAATTTCGCAGATGCGAGGAACCGTAAATTTGTGGTAATTTTCTCGATTGCTCGGACAAAGTAAATTCCTGATTACTTGAAACGAGTTCAATTTTTAATTAGATACTAGCTTGTTTTGAATTAGTTAATAAAATAGCCAATTACTAAACCATTAAAGCTAGGTGACCCTCGGCTCCACCATTAGGTACCTATATGCATGATTAAAAAAAATGAACCAAAGTTCAATTTACGAAAATTCCTAAGTCATCCCCTAAATGATTATTCAACAGGGAAAATTAATTTTACATCAAAAGCAATATTATACTATTAATGAATGAAAGGGGACTGTAATCCATAATTTAACTAAATTCATTTATTTCAATCAACAAACCCAAATAAATTAATCAGGTTGCGGCAAAATAAAAACAGAAATTACTTTCCATATGAAAGGCGCCCTAATTATTAAATTGTGTTTTTAATACATAAAGAACGCACATTCTTTACGGTAATAATTCTATATAACAAAAAAAGAGTAAAAAGAACACCCCGTGTGCTTGACAATTTCTCGTGAACTTAATAATCGAAGTTTGATGCAACTACGTGGGGGGCCCATCCTTGTATTCGACCGAATTGAATGAATAACCCATTATTATACGCTCAACTTTGATTATAAAGAACTGTAGAAAACATCTGTCACAGTTCGTGATCGTTAAGGTATATGCAGTATACTGTACACGTCTTATCAACTCGCGGTTTGTACCTACTGTAAGAACTTGTTATGTATCTAAATAAGACTATTCCTTTCCTTTATCCTTTTTTTCGGCCAAACTAAAAAATTGCTCATTTTTTTGAGATCTGACGTTAGAGTAAAATGACTTTAGTAGCAACAGAATCAAAATTGACGACTAATTACGGAAGTGCTTTATTTTTACTGCTCAAATGAGAAAGTATAATAAAGTTACATAAGTAGGTATATAATAAGCAAAAATAGTGAGAAAAATCAAATTTGCTTAGTTGCCATAGAAGTAATCCATCTCAACCCACGTGAAGTTAGCCCCCCAACATTAAATAATGAAACGTCAAATACTTCCTTCGTTTGCACATTGATTGCATATTTGGGCATACTTCGATTTTTCGTTTGCGCATTTCCCTAAAAAAAGTTTCTAAAAAAATAAAAATTTGGGGGATACCTTTACGATTTTAGCCCTCCAACATTAAAATAATGGAGCGCTTTTTTTTTCGTTTTTGACTTCGGTTGCCTAAGGGCACAAATTTTTCCTTTAGGTACATAATTTTAGACCCTAACCTTAAAATAGAACTGTATATTATACTTTATTCGATTTCACCTCCCTAAAAAAGAAATTAAGAACTTAAATACGGGACGGTACATTCCCATTTTTATCGCATGTCACTAAATGAATTTGCACTGAAAGATTTTAGTTTGTCTATTCCGGAATCGGGGTGTTTGATTTCTGTTAGTCCATTTCCGATATCACGTTTATTTCGTTACTACTGGATGTCTATGAGGCGATCTTAAGTTGTGCTAGGCAAACGAAGTCAAAAACGAATGAAATATACAGCGCTCCATTATTTTAATGTTGGGTGGCTAAAATCGTAAAGGTATCCCCCAAATTTTTATTTTTTCAGAATCCTTTTTTAGGGAAATGCGCAAACAAAAATCGAGGTGTGCTTGTATATCTGCAAACAAATGAAGTATATTCAATTAATTTAATGTTAAGTGGCCAAAATCGTAAAGTTGGCATCCCCAACATTGTTTTTTCAATATCTCTTTTCAGAAAACTGTGCAAACGAAAAATCGTAGTGTGCCTAAATGTGCAATCAATGTGCAAACCAAGGAAGTCTTGACGTTTCATTATTTTAAAATTGGGGGGCTAACTTCACGCGGGTTCCATCTCATAGTTTCACAAACGAAACTACGGATAGATACTGATCTTTGCCTCAAGTGCTTGCCATTCGGTAAATTTTAATAGGGATGTAGAAGATAGCTAGATCAAAACCAGCAAAAATGTTTAAAATTCACCGCACAAAAGTCCAACTCTTGGGCTAAATGGCAAAGAAAAATTCCTTCCTTCCTGCATTATGCAAGGCGTCCATTTTTCGAGTGCCACTATGGGGATCTCGCTTACCTTAAGAGATAGAAAGTTGGTTAAATGGGGGCAAGTTGCGAATTACCCTGCTGAATAAACATCTGAAAAGAAATTTAAAATATCATCAATAGTTCTGAAAATATCGCAAAAAAACAAAACTTTCTGATTTTCGTTTTTAATTTTTTCATGATAAACTAATCGTACCTACTAGACATGTTTAATTAACACATTATTCGAACACTTTTCAATGGAGATTTCGAATAGGACATCTCGGTTTAAATAACTTTTAAGATGACAGAGAAACACGTGGCAACTTTAGTTTTTCTTATGGGCGCCATTTTTAATTGTGAGATTTTAAGATTACGTCTTTTTTTCTCTGTACGACGATCCACACCACATGGTGGTTCAGTATCACATTTTTCCTAAAATATAATTTTTAATTTTTTGGGAAGAGTGCTTTGGAAAAACAAAACTTTCTTTTATTGTGAACAAAAGTTTGACAGTTTGATGCATATGTCCGGTTGCAGCGTTGGCATCAGGGAACTAGATGTGTTGAGAAAATTCGATTTTCATATGAACAGAATTGAACCTTCGTTTTGCAATAAAATTATAATTCAAATTAGAACAAAATACATAAGAATAAATAATATTTTACCAATAAAACTAACACAAACGTAAATGACACTGCTTGAAATAAGTCAACATTTTGTTCACAACAAAGGAATGTTTTGTTTTTGCATAGCACTCTTCGCAGAAAATGAAAATTGTATTTTTAGAAAAAATGTGATACTCATGTGTGATATATCGTCGTAAAGAGAAAAAAAGACCTAATCTCAAAATGTCAAAATCCAAAATGGCGGCCATAAAAAAAAACTAAAGTTGCCACGTGTTTCTCCGTCATCTTGAAGGTTATTAAAAACAGGATGCCATATTCGAAATCTCCATTAAAAAGTATCTGAATAATGTGTTAATTTGAAATGTCTAGTACAATTAGTTTACCATGAAAAAGTTAAAAATGAAAATCAGAAAATTTTTTGCCATATTTTCAAAACTATTGAAGATATTATAAATTTATTTTTAGATTATTATTCAGCACGAAAATTCGCAACTTTGCCCTAATTTAACCGAGGTTCTATCTCTTAAGATAAGCGAGATCTCCATAGTGTCACTCGAAAAATGGACACCGTGTATAGGGAAGAAAATATATCAAAAGTGTATAAGATAAAATCATAGTAACATAGTCAGTTTTGAGCAAGAAGGCATTTTTAAACTGTTTAAAATGTAGGTATCCTATTAATTTTCGAATAAAAGGTTAGCGACGGGAGAATCAAGAAATTTATGATTAAACTAATTCCCGAATCCAACCAAAGATAGGTTTCTTGCGACAGGTCAATTACATGTGCAGAAATAGGGAAACTAGTTCTGAAAAATCGTCGTGGAACCGTTACAAAAGTTTTACAAAAAAGTCCACCATGTGTGCGTACATCAACGTATTTCTTGTCTCGTATATGTAAAGGTGCGGCATTGTTACATAAAAGAAAACTGGTCTCTTACCGTCTTTGGAAAACATTAATATTCCAACTTCTTCTTAGTCTTTAACCTGCAATAAAATTTATTTCGTCATTCAATTTTTTGCCCTATTTAAAATTCACGTGTGCCGGAAGAGGATGTGCATTGGTGCTCGTGTTACCCGTACCTATATACCTAAATATGAACGCAACAATAAAAAGTACTGCGGAAGTAGTAAAAAAACCGAAGCTATTAATAAATGTTAACAAAAACAGATAAAGCACTTCGCCCACGAAAGCACAATAAACATCAGGCGTGAAACAATAACAGAAATCTGTGAATAAATGAATAATTCCGTTGGCGTTTTTATGGCGGTTTTACGTTTTCGAGGATTGTAGGATGATTCGCCCCCGAAAGTTCGCCCCGGAATTCGCCCCTGAAAATTCGCCCCCGGAATATTCGCCCCCAAGAAAACTCGCCCCCAAGTAAATTCGCCCCCGGACCATTCGCCCCGGAAAATTCGCCCCCAAGAAAACTCGCCCCCAAGTAAATTAGCCTCCGGACTATTCGCCTCCAAAGATTCGCCCCGGAAAATTCGCCCCCGGCAAATTCGCCCCCGACAAATTCGCCCCCGGTGATTTCGTTCCCGTAGGATTCGCCCCATAAGATTTATTAATCCTTGGAGGTAACAGGGCCAGCAGTTCATAAAATGAATGTTGTTTAATTTTAATTTTTTTTTTGTAATAAGTAATAACTGTGTATATAAAGGGGGTAGAATAATAGCACTCAAATACCTGTTAATTAAAATATGAATAGGTAATTAAGATAAGGTTGAATAAAGTAAATCTGAAAATCAAACTGACACAAACTGACAACAGCAAAAAAGGAACTCTTATGGCATCAGTAATCCGTATTGTCATTTTTATACTTACATAATAGTAGGACACAAAGTATTTACTAAATTTTTGGTAAATGGTCAACGTTCAACATTTTTTGATCTCTAGTGGACACCTACTTTGGACATTTTAAAACTTTTATGGCATTTGCACATTTTTTACCAAAATTCTCAAATTTAAGGCTGATCCGACGGGCTGAATTTGGAACGAGTACAAGAGTACCGTATAGCAGACTAATTACTACTTAACTATTAAATATATAAGCAAAATTTTTTTTATATTTTAAAGAAATGGGACGTTTCGGGTTAGATTTTTTTAGATTATTTTAATTATCATTTGATACTTCAGCAAACTTCATCAATGTTGGTGTTTTTCAACACAAATTTACATCAAATCTGGACCGATTTTCAAATGTAAGTCTAAAGAAAGAATCATCCTTTGTTTATACATTGATGCCAAAAACATTTCAATACATCCATAAATGGCTGAGTATTTATAGACTCCTTTGTAAACGCAATTTGTTGTAAAATGTATTGTAAACATACGGTTGACGTTGAACCGTTGAATCAGCCTTTTACAGGTGAAAATCGATTGAAGATGAACAATTTCGAGTTGTCAGTCTCGCCGTATTGAGTTCCAAATATCGTCATTTTTGCAAATATTTATTTAATTAATTTAAACCAACCTATTACTTCCGAGGCTCGTTCCGAGGGTTAATAAATATTATGGGGCGAATGCTACGGGGGCGAATTTGTCGGGGCGAATATTCCGGGGGCGAATTTGTTGGGGGCGAATTTACTTGGGGCGAATATTCCGGGGGCGAATATTACTTGGGGGCGAATTTACTTGGGGGCGAATATTCCGGGGGCGAATTTTCCGGGGCGAATTTACCGGGGCGAATCTTCCGGGGCGAATTTCCGGGGCGAATTTACCGCACACCGTTTT